TGATCCTTCTCAACCAGAGCGAAAGTGGTGGATGAGGAGGATGAAGTGGAGGCAAGAGAGGCGGCGAGCAAGTGGGGGAGAAGGAGGAGGGGCAAGCGGAGGGTGGGTGCAGGTGCATCAGGTGCAGGTGCCCTTCCGTCAACCGCCTGAGTTCGAGAGGTAGGGAACATCACGAGGGGAGGGGCAGAACTTGAGCGGCGCTAGGGTGCGTCTTGTGTCTGATGTATTGAATGGGAGTTTCTTTTTCATTATCCTCCGTGAGTCTCCCCTCCAATTCTTCCTATTCCTCATCCCCCTTCTCTTGCTCTTTCTCCTCCTCCTCCTCCTCCTCCTCCTCTGGCTCCTCCTTCCCCTGATGATCATCCCCTTTCCCCTCTTCCTCCTCGTCCATCCCTTTTCCTTATGCATAACTCCTTCCTGCCGCACCCGCAGACGTGTCGGAATGGGGGCCTGGGCGGCTCGCCCGAGACGCCGGGTGTGTTTCAAAGTGTGGCTCTCGCCTCGGCGCCGCGCACATTGGTATCAGCTCTGCAGCAGAAACAAGGATGGAGGGTGGGCTGTTTTTTAATGTTGATCTCGCTTTGGCGCCACGCGCATTCGTGGTAAAAGTACACCGGTTTCAAGTTCACGACAGTTTCAAGGGTTCGAAGGGCTGAATTCCCAGGAATTGTGTTCTGACACAATTTGGAATTGTCCGGACGCAACATTAAAGTGTATTCGCGGTGCTGAAGTCCCAGGAATTGTGTTTTCACGCATCGTATGTTTGTCAGGACGCAACCGTCGCGCTAATTCGCGGCGTTGAAGTCCCAGGAACGATGTGTCTGCACGATTGGGGATTCTCAGACGGTTGTCTTTCGATGGGGCATTTCCCGCACTTAAGATAAGTTATTGCAAGGACCTATGAGGAGGGAACTTGGAGTGATGGCTTATTGCAACATCGTTGATGCGTCTTCGGTTTACACTTCTCCTTCGGCTTCTCCTTCCCCTCTTCCTCAGCCTCCTCCTCCTCCTCGTCATCCTCACCATCACCATCATCATTGAGGCAGACGTCTTCCGTTGAGGCGGACGCCCACACGGTCTCGGCAGGCTTGAGACGCCCTATCGCCGCCCACCCGGGTGCGCCGGCAGCGGGTCGCGCGCGGGAAGACTTGGAGTCCGCCGGCATTTGCATGCGCCCGGGCCGCATCACTTTCGTGGAAGGAGAGCGGCTCCAGTATGAGGCTTTCCAAATTTCTCCCACCGAAGCAGTCTTCGACTTCTACGCGGAGGCGGACGACATCCCTGTTTCCTCTGTGTCGCTGTTAGCCGCCAGCCAGGACCCAGAGGCTGACGGGCACACTCGTGGTAGCAAGCGGCGTCTGACTGCGCGATCGTACAAAGGTCTGGCCGCCACCACGGCGACGCGGCCTTGGCGTCGCTTGCCCGCGCCGCGGCGGGTGCGCCTGCTTGCGGGTAGCGGGCTTGGCGCCAGCGCCTCTTGGAACGTCTGACGTCTGCTACGAGATTCCGCGTTCGTCGTCATGTTCCGTCGACGTCTGCTGCTCGACTTGCTGTGAGCCCCAGCAGCGCGTGCCTTCGAGTACTCCCGGCACGCGGCCGCCAGCGAGTGGAGCCGGCAAGGCGCGTGCGGGCGCCCCCTGGACGTCGCCAGCTATCATGCGTTGTGCTGCCCAGTCGGGCCGCATCTGAACTGGCTCCACAATGGGATTGTGCGGGCCCTCGGCGAGTGGCTCTCTTCCCACGGCGGGCATGTCGACATCGAGCGCTGCGGGCCCGAATTGCACCGCATGCGCGACGGCGGCTTCACAGAGGAGGCGCGACTGGACCCGGTCGTTTGCTGGCGGGGCGCCCCAGCACCGGCGTGGCGGTCGTGCTTGTCGCCGTGGGGCCCGAGGTGCGCCTGGGCGCGGCGGCGCAGCAGCTCTCTGCGGAAACCGCGGCGTCACCTCGCCGTGCGGCGACGCTGCCCGGCGAACTGGGCTGGGAGCAGGGTGCCGACTACGCGCGGCAGATCGCCTCGCGGGTATCCAGCTCGCTGGTGGCGCGGCTGGCAGACTTGCTCCTAGTGGCGGTCCCGGGCGCCGAGCCGTCGGAGCCGCGGGCATTGCATGATTAGATACTTATGATGGTTATTGCTCCGTCGCCGGGCCAATTTGACGAGTTCCAGGGGGACTGGCGATCATAATCAGTGTGTCATCAGCATCAGCACCACCATCGTCATCAGCATCGTCATTGTCGCCATCAACATCGTCATCATCGCCATCACCACCATCACCACCATCATCATCATCATCTTCACCATCATCATCATCATCATCTTCACCATCATCATCATCATCATCATCATCATCATCATCATCATCATCATTATCTTCCTCTTCCTCCTTGGAACCCTCCTCCTCGTATTTTTCCCGTCTGTCCACTTCCCAGAATTCCCCCTCCGGGCCAAGCGGCGGGGGGTGGCCCCCGATGCCAACTCCCAGGTGGTCGAGCAGACGTTCGTCATCACTCGTGACGATCACGGCGACTCTGGCTTGTGCGTCCAGGAGCAGAACCGCAGGTGGCAACGGTAGTTATGTGTTGCAGTTCCTAGCCGGCTGTTCATTCTTATTTCTACCTGTCCCCGTATTTCCATGTCACCGCGTCCTGTTGACTAACAGACTCCTCATCGTATTCTTCGTCATCCTCGGCGTCCTCGCCCTCATTCGTTTCGTCCTCCTCCTCTTCTTTTTCCTTATCCCACTCTTCGTTTTCTCACCACCTCGTCCTCCAGGTCCTGCTCCCTTGCCTTCGTTCCCTTCTGCTCTTGACCTCCGTTGGCACTACCGCGCCTTTGCATTTTCTCGCCTCCCCTTTTCTGGGCGTGCCTCTCCGCGGCCAGGAAAGAGGAGAGACGAGCACGACGAGGAGGTGGGCGAGGAAAATGATGAGGATTGGGAGGAGAAGACGGAGAGGGAAAAAGGAGGAGGAGGAGGAGGAGGAGGAGGAGGAGGAGGAGGAGAGGGAGGAGGAGGAGGAGGGGGAGGAAGAAAAGGAGGTCGGTGGGGACGACGACGAAAGAGAAGGGGGGACCAGAAGGAGGACCCCACTGTAGGCCTCCTTCTCCCCGTCAGCAGCTTCCCCCCCCGCCGTCCCGCCCCGCTTCTGCGGCCGTGCCTCTGGGCAGCCAGACTTGCAGCCCTCCTCGCCCTCTCCCCCCCCTCCTCTGCATTCAGCCGCCTCCTCCCCACCCCTCTCCTTCCTGCCCTCCTCCCATGCTCCCCCTGCCCCCCGCTCCCCCCTTTCCCGTCGACATAAATGTGCTCAAGCCCAGCGCGGTTCATTGATTTCGGCCTTTAGCCGTTTGGGCCCGGGGACCATCAAAAATGGATCCGGAGTGAAACTACGCCCAGGGCCGGGGTCGAAACCTCTTGGGCCTGTCCCGTTCTTCCCCCGCCCCTTGTGCTGCGCGGCTCCTCTTGCCACCTCCCACTCGTGTTTCTATTTCGCACGTTCTGTGTTGCAGCCTGGATCCAGTCCACGATCAGGGACGGGCAAGCGTGGGATGATGGGCCATCCGCGCTTCTTCTTGCCACCTCGTGCCCTCCTCCTGCTCTCCTCCTGATCCTCGTGATGCGTGGTTTCCATCCTCATCTCCCGCTGACTTCCTTCGTCCCTGCTAACCCTCAGCCGGCCCAGGGAGCCCGGAGGAGGCCACCGCGCAGTGTTCTACAACACCGTCTTCTCGGAGGGGACGCGGGTCAGAGCGTGCGGCAGCGGCAGCGCAACCAAAGCCACGCGTGAGAAGCTGCCACCCTCTGGACATCTCCGAGCTTCCAGATCCAGGGGCACACTCCGATATCAGAGCCAGCCTGAACGGGCCCCTCGCTCTCTCGCCGTGGAGGCGCGGATGCCCCAGTTCGGACCAATTCGGTGCGCGCTCGGGATGATTCGGCCGGCTCGGCTCGGACCGCAGTCCTGTTCGGTCCGAGTCGTGATAAACACAGCGGATTGGTTCGGCCGTTTCGGCTAGCCACGACCAGCCCAGCAGGAACCATCAGGAGATCCCTGAATCTCCGCATCGAGAGGCAACTTCTGATGTCCAGGCTGCGTCGGAGTTCGGACCGAGGAGCGGTTCTGTCCGGGTCGGATCAAAGTCGGCGGCCTGCTTTGGCCAGCTCGGATCGCCCGGCCGGTTCGGGGCGTCTAGGAAAAGGACTTGCGCAGAGCCCTCTCGGAGGACGTGGGGTGCGCCAGAGGCGCGCTCGGCCGGGGAGGATAGTGGTGGGTGGGAGATGTGCGGAGGGTAGAGATGAACGAGCGCAGGGGAGGGGGAGGAGAAGGAGGAGGAGAATGACCAGTGCAACTCCTAGACTCATTAACTTGTAAAACACCCTCCCTCCTTTCAAGCTCCCTCTTCACAGGCCACTACAAGTCTTCATTTCCGTTGACACTGACGCGTGCCAAAACATGGTTCGCGGGACTCCAACGCCATGAATCAACATGATTGTTGCGTCCTGACGATCTGGGACCGTGCCAGGACACCATTCTTCTGACCTTAACGCACCGAATCAACGTAATTGCTGCTCCCTCACGATCCAAAGCCTTTCCAAAACATTATTTCTGGAGCGCTGACCAATGCGGTCCGTTAAACTCTTCCGAATGTTATAGACGAGTGTCCGCGCCGTTTTGGCGAGGGCCACGTTTTGGAATGGAGCCGCCCTCAATCCGTGAGACGATTGCAAACATTCAAAACGAATGTGCGCAGCGCTAACGCAAGAGCCACATGTTGAAAACGACCCGCCCCAATCCGTGAATCTCTTTCAGTTCTTGTTTAAGGAATGTACGCGGCGTGACAGCGAGAATCACACTTTGAAAACGACCCGCCCTCAATCCGTGAATCTCCTGCAAAGGTTTAAAAGGAGTGTGCGCGGCGTACATTTCGAAAACGGCCCGCCCTGAATCCATGAAGCTCTGGCACTTGTTTAAAACGAACGTGCGTGGTTCTTAAGCGAGAGCCCCATTTTGAAAATGACCCGCCCTCCGTGTGTGAGACTGTTGCGAATGTTTAAGCTTCAGGTCGTAAAGTGTGAGGAAGTCTCAGGCGGAACGCCCAGCCCGCCCTTTCGACCGGCCTCGAGGTTCGATAGGGAGGAGCTACTTTTAAGGAAAAGGAATGGAGAACGAGGAGGTGGAAGGGGAGGAGGAGGAGGGTCCTTTTCCTCCCCCTTCTCCTCCTCCCCTCCCACCTCCTTCTCCCCTCCTTGTGATGAAAAAGGAGGATCCGGTCATTCATCTCCTCCTCCTCCTCCTTCTCCTCCTCCTCCTGCTCTTCCTCATTCCCGTCCTCCTTCTCCGACGGAGGAGAACGACGACGACCACCACTACGACGGCGGCGGCGGCGACGACGCTAAGGGCGCGCAGGGCGCAAGAGTATGGACGAGGGGGAACGATGTCGAGACCGTATCGAGTGACTGCATCGTCTCAGGAGGCCCTCGATAATAGTAGGGCATCACAAGGAAGGGAAGTGCTTGCATCAGGTTGGCAGGGTTGCTGACTGGCAAACATGTTTGTGGCAAGGAAGAGACGTAATGGAGCAGATGTTGCCGAATGCGTTGTCTCAGCTTGTTCGGGCCTTGCACTTTGTGCTGCGGGAGACGAATCTGGGAGGGATGGAGGAGCGGAGGGGATGGGGAAGAGCAGAGGGGACTGATGAGTTATAGTGCCGCCCCCGATCCTGACCTTTGGACGCCCCCAGACGCCACCGAAGGCCTGGAAAAAGGCACAACCGCAAGACAAGCCTCCAAACCACGCCCAGCAATTTCCGCCCTTCGATCCTCGAGGGTCAAGGGCAAAATTGAGCAGGGAGGGGGGGGGGACAGAGGGTTGCGATGTATCGTGGCGGAGCATGGCGGGTAGGGGCAGGTAGTCAGCGGCGGCGCGGCGGAGAGGGCCGGCATGGACTGCAACCACATGGGCTCGATTTCTTTGTCGTCTCAGCTGCCGTAGCTTCTGCGTGGAATGTCAGAGGAAGCAACAGATCGATGCTGATACCCTTCCCTCGCTTTGGCCTTTGGGGGCCGCCTGGGGGAGGGGAGTTTTGTCGGGTGGAGGGGGCTCGGAATCCAGGTCAGAACGAACCACGCGAGAGGTTGGGGGAGTAACGGCCTAGGTATAGGATTCCCCCAGGGTGGCAGGTTGGCTAGCCAAGAACTAGCTTCTGGAATTTGGTCATCGATGGAAGTCTAGAGAACCCACCTGCAAGGTTGTTTGAGGCAGCTGGCGGTGATACTTCGGGGCAATTGGGCGCCATTCAGGTAGCCACTGTTCCCCTCGAGCTCTGCCTCTGAGTTTCGTTACACGGAGTGTATTACTCCCTGCGCTGACTGCACTGCAGAAGAGGATAGGCAGCGCGGAAGAGGAACGGGGAGGATAATGCCTTCTGATTTCTCGTTTCGAGGGAAGGCGCATTGCGTCCTGGGAAAGGTCCGCGGTGGAGGGCAACTTACTTTAAGGGTAGCTCTTTGGGAGATGTTATACAGAATCGGGAGTATAGCTCGCGCGCCGTTGCCCTTGGCTCAAGGCACGCGCGCCCTATTTGCCCGGACACTGCTTGTGTTCGCTATGTGCTGGAAAGATCACTACATCGATCTTATCCTATCTTATCCGTTCATTCCTCTTACTGAACAGCCTCAGTACGATACCGGACGCTATTTGCCACCCGCTTCCCATGGAAGCGGATGCTATTTGGCTTACCATAGTCACTTTCGATTTGGTAGCGGAGCTGGCCGCACTCTCGTGTGGTCAGCTCTTGCTCTCCTTATCCTCACGCTACACGGCACGATCTTCGTGACCAACTACCACCCTGCGCCACCACTCCCAGTACATTTACGAGGATCTATTCAAGAGCAATAAGCAACACGAGAGGTACGACGTCTAGACAACAACATTGGTACCAGATACGCTTCATCACTGCGCTACTACCAACCGCTTGGCAACGAGCCAAAAGCGCAGTACTTGAAGCAGAGGCGGGGAGACCCGCGAGATAAAGCGCCTCGAAGACTTGACAAGGCGTTACCCCAGCGCGGCAACGCGCCTAACAACCACCCATATCTTCACAGCCTTGGGCTGGTTATATTCGCCATCATATGGTTCGCGCCGGGGGCAGCAATCGGACACATGCGTCGCGGAGAGAACAGCACCGATGGGCAAACACATGGCCCATACTGGGACCCTCAAGGCAACGTACCTTTCCGCGAGTACATTTATGAGGTCAACGCGTGGCTCAACGTCACAAGTGGACGTATGACGCCACAGGCCCAAGCGGCCGCCATACAACGCGGCCTGGGTGGCCTAGCGAGGACACTCGCCATGAGGGTACCACCTGACATTATAAACTATGGTGCTGACATCGATGGGGTCCACACCGACCCAGTGACCTACATCATGTTCCTCTTAAGCATGAAGTTCGAGCGCCTGGAAGATGAGCGCCAGCTCACTTCCGGCACACAGCTCATCGACTTTCATGTGCCTCACGGAGAACGAATCGATGTCACCCTCACCCGATTTGAAATGGCCCGACTTGAGGCACAGTCGGTGGGATTTGACCTTCCCAACTTCCAACTACTAACTACGATCCTATTCCGCGCCTTAGGCGTCGGCAACCAGCGATCCACGCAACTCTTACAGCCACTCAATCACCAAATGCCCCGAACACAACAACAGTATGATGAGTTGCTGGAGAGGATGCGTTCGATAGGTCACCTATCAGAACGGTCTCCTGGCAATATAGGATCAGTGTTTGGAAGGGGAAGGGGATCTGGTAGTGGGAATTTCTACACTACCTTAACCATTGAAGCCCAGCCTGGAAACGGGCCCTCAAGCGCATGGGCTGACGATCCTGGAGAATCCACTGCTCTACTAGCAGGGGATCGATCACAACCAAGCTGGGCAACCAGCCCTCCTTCTAGAGAACCTCAAACACACCGTTCCCTATGGGGTGATTCAAACCCCCTAACCGACGGTGTATCCACCTACCTGGGAGACGACGATTTCGACTCCGGCGCCGACACCGATACTGCATCATCAGACGGCGTTGAAGCTTTAGATTGGTCAGATATCATGAATATGGAAAGTGATAATCAGCGTGCTGAACACTTGTTTTGGTTATTACAACAGGCAAAGCGGAGGTGGAGGAGGTTCACGCGAAAACCAGTGCGTCGTGTTAGGAAGAGGATACGGAGGAGCTTCAAAGGAAAAGGTGAGGGTAAACGGGGTCGTCGTAGGTTGAATGGACGAGGCATCACGGCCTTCCTCCCGAGGCTCTCAGATGACCAGTATGATGAGATATTTTTCGGGGAAAAGGCCGTGGTAAAGGCCGTAGTGATACCTCAGGCAAAGGCAAAGGTAGGCGGGGAAACCCGCGAGGTAGAGACGGCCAGATCTTAAAGTGCCATGAGTGCGATAGTACCGACCATCTGGTGAAATATTGTCCAACGAAGGGAAACGGAAAGGGCAGATCGACCGAAGTCCATGTTGGCTCAAGTGAACCATTTATTGAATATCTGAGCCTCCAGGATTTTGAGGCCATGGAACAGATATTTTACACTTGGGTTAGCTGCGTGGACAACGTCGACGAGCTCGAGGCGTATGGCCATGGACTGTACGCGTACTACCTCGAGTACCTCCGCAGGTTCGTTGTCGGCAACAACGAGCTCACTCCCGTGGATCACGGAACGCTGGGAAACCAGCCTTAATTTTTCTTCGACTGGATGTTCGGGAACCCAGGCAACATCATGGCCTACGAGAGCAGTGACGAGGACGTCACTGTAGAGGCCTCGCCTTCAGAGGTTGATCGCAACCTCCAACCTCCACCCGACCTCATGCCTGGAAACAGGCCGACCTATCCTCGAAACCACGCTGAACTAATAGAAATGGAGTCTCAAGCGTTCGTTGCGGGCGTACCAGGGGGCCCATTTATACCCCCTGGTTCGCTTGCTCCGGGCGAGTACGGACCACGCACACTACTGCAAACCCTCATGAGGTTGCACGAGATATTAACCATAGCCTATCCCGAGAGTCAAGAAAGCATCGAAGCTGGTAACATGATGCTGCAGGACACTGACGCCTGCGACGACTCGGAGTTGGTGCTGGCAGCCTTGACTCTTATTGATAGCGTGCACCCTGAGGACGTGCAGAGGCATGTGTGGTACTCCAGAGGGAGATGGCGCCAGGCCCTTGAAAGGGCCATCACCATGCGCGCCAGGCTCTTCCTCCGCCAGGATGGGGTCTCCAGGCGGCGGGACTATGGCCCAACCGCACGGCCATGCGTAAAATCGCCGGGCAGCCTGTGCTCGGCAACGAGCCTGAGCCGACAACCGTGCCACCTACGCCGGGACAGCCAAGCGATGCTCAGACGCCGGCTACGCAGGGAAACCTGCCCGTCCCGGCTGTGCCGATGGCCGCCATCATTGGCAATCCTACATCAGAAGATGAAGAGGGTGATGGTTGCGGGCTGTGCGAGGACGAAACCACAATCTTCATGATGGAGGTCACTGGTGAGGTAGAGGTGGACTTCGATCCCGACGAGCCCGACGCACCACCACCATCGGCACAAGCGCCAATTGCGCCGGGCTCCAGCCAGCAGGGAGACCTGCCTCTGTTAGACGATCCGCCTGGGATCGCGCAGGAGCCTCCGCAGGAGCCCCCGCCGGCTCCCGCTCAGGCTGCGTCAGCAGCATCTTCTGATGAGCATGCCAGGAGGTCTCGTTCCCATCCACGCCTCAGAGAAGAGCCTCATCCGCAGGCACGGCTCCCTCGTGAGTGGAGGCAAGCTGGCCCAAAGGAGCGTGCTCTTCGGCGAGGGGGCCAACTGCTTCCCTACAATGACCCTAGGCGTCGGAAAGGGGAACATTCGGCCTTCGGAAAGGGCAACCCAGCCTATAGAGACGCTCAGGGTAAGTCCATACGCGGTGGCTACCAGCTTGCGACGAACATTCGTACTGGTGAAATAGAAGAAGTACGAACGCAGCTGCGAAATGTCATCACAGCACGCAAACTGTACAGACCTAAAGCAGTTTACGTGGGTTTGAGCCCGAACAGAGGCCGCACTCCTCATGAGGAGGGTCATCCACCGTTGATCCCGATGACTCAAGACGAGATCGCAGAGATCAATCGTCGTCTCGGGATCACGGTTCACATGAGGCCGAAGGCCGAGGAGGTTAAGCCTCCTCCGGCTCCGAGGGGACTGGTGCCCATGACCCAGGAAGAAAAGGATGCGCTCTTTAGCCTTCCTGGAATGCGAGGAAACTCGCCCGGCGTTTCCCGCCAGTTCCAACGGCCAGAACCGACGGACAACGATGACCAGAAGGCCCAGCGAGTTGCGGCGGATGAGGAACGTAGACGAATCGCAGAGGAACTCGCCAGATGCTGATGGACTCCCAAAAGATCTACATGAAGGAGGCGAAGGCGAAGAAGCCTCCACTTCCACTCCAACCGAAGGCTAAGAGTGAAACACCGGCCCCTAGGTCGCTTTCGGAGGAGAGACCGAAGACAACAGCACGCTCTGAGGAGCTTGGGTCAGATGTGCAGATGGAGGCGCCTCGCTCTAAAACGCCGAGATCACCGACTCCAGCACAGAGACCTAGAGCAACTCCAGCACAGAGACCTAACCCCAGACAGCCACCTCAGGAACCTGTAGAAGTACGTAGACGCCCGCCTAGTCGCAGCGGATCTATCGCCAACAAGGCTAAGGCTTTCGAGCGCACAGGGTACGCCCCTGCGCCAGCCTCGCCTGTGGCGGCACGCTCCAAAAGGTCCGATGAAGGTGCTCTGTCTAGGGGCACCTGGGTGCCGACGATTAGGGGCAGCGCCAGCCGAGAGTCACCGCGGGGAAACCCGCCAGGCGCTGCTGCTGCAGCTTCCTCCTCCTCGGGAGCCGCAGCCTCTTCGGCGACTGAGGCTCCTGTGCGGGGAAACCCGCCCGAGGAACAGCTGCGCCACCCAGGAGACACGTCCTTCACCAGTGGGAGTCAGGCCGTGATCAGGGATAGACTTGCCCTGCGGAAGCCCCCACCGACACGCTCGGTGGATGAGGAATTCATGAGGAAGTGCAGGCAAGAAAAGATTACCCCGAGCAGGAATCACACCCTCAAGCAACTGAGTAAGGCTCTCAGCAGGGCGTGTAGACACGCGCCTGACAAACCACACAATGCTGTGTGGAGCCTGAACACCTTCGACGATCATGATGGCTGGATTAACCTCGTAGAGCTCGCCCATGAGTATCCGTGGCACCACGGACATACGAGACATGATGGTTACAATCCCAGGCATGACGAAGCCAAAGTCATCACCGCGAACCTATACGGCCGAACGGTGGACCAGCTGGCCGCCATCACGATGGAGGTTGTCCATGTCCGCGAACCAGACGGTGAAGAGAAACAACGCCTTCAGTTTAAGGTGTTAGTGCGGGACTCTGGCAAGTCCGACATCTTCATCCGGGCCTCTCAAGGG